TTTGAAACCCAGAGATTTCTGATGTAACAGGAAGTCAGTACTGAAACAAAACTGTTTACAGAATTATAAACATAAAGATAAAATGAAATGGTCCTAGCCTAAACAACCTGGGCCCCATATACCTAAGGAACCAGTTTCTCTGTAAGATCCTCAAGATCAGCTGGGAGCATTCTCTTATTAGTAGCATCAGTGAACCAAGCTCACTTGGCAAAAACACATGGGAGGTCATTCTCAGTAGTTGCTCTTCAGCTCTGGAACACCCTCCCCTTTGAGGCCCACCAGAGCCTGATCCTGGACATCTTCCAAAAATGCTGTGAGTCCTTCCTCTTTGGACAGGCACTTGGCAAAGCCAGGCTCAGCCGCAATACTGTTGAAGAAGCTTTTGTTTCGTATTCCATTCTATCCGCTTTTATTCTGCTTCTTACCGTAAACTGCCCTGAGTTATACATAAAGTGAATAAATAAATAAATAAATAAATAAGAAACCTGGAAGTTTTATTAAAGACTAATTACTAACTAAGAGGAATTAACTATACTAAGGATAACAGTGATGCTGCCTGTGACAAGCAAGTGTCACCAGCTCAGAGCATACAGGTACTTTAATTTGTGCTATGGAGAGATGAGGAGAAAGAGCTTGCTTTGTGAGGTATATAGATTCAAAGGGATGGAATCAGAGAATGATGGGGGCTGAGGAAGCTATTGCACAGGTTATCACCTCTCCATGACTGTCTGCAAAATGAAGCCCAAGGCTGAGATGAGAACACAGGAGGCCTGGAAGATCCAGGAAACCTGCTGAGGCAGAGCTCACAATTGCCTGCTTGTTTATTGTGCTCTCTCCACCAAGAATTTGCTGTGCAGTTCTGTTGAACAGCAGGTTCTTGCTCACCTCAGCCTGCTCAAAGTCATCCTGCACGGATGCAACTAATCTCAAATGTGCCTCCAATGGACATTCACAATTCAACCCCTATATTAGTAAGTTGCCTAAAAGTCTGTCTCCCCCTATTTCCATGTGTCTAAAGAGGAAGAGATAATCTAGTGCATCCCCCCTCCTCACCTAGATTGAAGGGGCATCTCCTCTTACTCCACCCCCATCACCTTGCAAGAATATTGAGACAAACCCAAGGTCTATCTGGGTGAACAGTTCAGGACTGACCTTGGCACTGATCCCTGCAGGGAGATTTTCATACCACTGGGAGCCTGCTGAAAGATCCACAGGCTCACAGACAAGCCTCATGGTGCTGTCATCCCATGCTGTCGTATCTCCTGTGGTAACACATTGGAGAGAAGGGATTTGTGGATATTTGGGGGCCCTTCATTCTCCTTTGGGATGAACGGATATGTTGGAAGAAGTCAAATGAGGAAGAGTTGGAGACAAAACAGTCCTGCACTCCACAGAGGCAGAGAATGCCATTGCTTAAGGCAGACAGGAAGGTGAAGCTTGCCTGGTGCAACTTTCCCAACAGCCTGATAAACCAATCAAGGCAGTGTGATAAACCAAGGAAGGCAGTATGACTACCACTGTATATGCTGATGGTCAGCCACCTCCCATTCCCATTGTTACGCATCTACTTGAGGCAGCAGCTGCTCTTGCTATGCAACAGAAGATTGAGCCTTTCTACAACAAATGTTGAGAGACTTTAGCTGATCAGAATGAATAGATGCTGGCTTCCCAAGAACCTCACCCAGCGTGGGAGTGAAAGAGGACAGCAGCAGCTACTTGCTGGAAGGCCCTGAGGCCATGGTGGAGAGAAGGAGGTGGAGGAGGACACTGCTTGGGGGAATTTTGGCCACTAGGTCCCCTGGAGGGATGGAGAGGAAACTGACAGGTGGTATGTGAAGGAACATACCTTTATCCCCTGCCTTAGTTAACTTTTGCTATTTTTTCACACAAACTTTGGAAACAGCGAGTGCCTTTACACAGCATTTGGTTTACTTATCAGTCATGAAATTAACACTGCTGATGCATTTTATTTTACTGTGGTTGGGAAGGAAGTGCTGGGAAGAAATGTGTCTTATTCCCTACGTACGTCACTTTGTTTCCTTACATTTTTTTTCTGAAAGCAGGCCCAGGTTTTGCTCTCATTACATTTGCATATTCACAGAAGATTTCCATATGTGGGTTTGGGGTTTTTTCAAAATTTCTCTGTTTCCAGTCCAATTTTTGCTTTCATTGTGGAAGCCTGGAGGGAGCTGGGTTGCATGCGTGCATGGGGATTTTCATGGAACCTGAGGGGGAATACTGGCAGGGTTTTGGATCACCTGTAGGGTAATTATAACCTAGTCCCCAGTCAACATGCTGTGTGCTGGAAGGATTACCCTTTGTTTCTGTAACTTAACTCTTTCAGTGGGATAGATTGGTGGTCTATATGTTATCTCCCCAACTCCCTCGCCTGCCTCACCAAGGGGTTGGTGTTACACAGGTGACAGGCAGCCATACCTGGCTGTCTTCCTGCAACAGTAAAGTGCTCTCAGGTGCCAGAATCCTTTTAAGTGTGTTGTGGTCTTTGCACCCCTTTTGGAGGTATTAAAAGGATTCTTTCTCCCTTCCATTCATTGCTTGTTGTTGGCTTTATTATGTGTGTGGGTGGGCAGAGAGGCAGAAAAATGGAGGTGGTGAAGGGTCCATTCAAAACAGCCCTCTTAACTTCCTTCTGCCCTGCCTTCCTGCTCTGAATGACAGTCAAAATTGAAGTCAAAATGGCCCCTGGCATAGTTCTTCTTCCAGGCTGCAATAAAACACCACCTTTTCTTGACATTAAAAAAGTGTGGAAAGTATCAAAATTGAAACATTCTGGCATTTTAGACATTGAATTCCACAAGTGCTTATTTTTGTCCAAAATTTTGACATTTTGTACATGAAATTCTAGCTCTGAAAACACTTTGTATTTTTGTCACAATTTGAGTCTAAGTAAATCCTGGAATTTTTGCCAGTGGAAATTCTGTTGGTCTGGCAGCTCAAGCATTTTGACTTCCTGACAGGTCTGGCACCAGCTGAGAGAACATTTTATGGGGATCCCTGGTGCAGGCAAACAGACTAGATAAAAGAAATGGAGTTTCTAGGCAAGCATCTTCTTTAGTTCCTTGTACATAGTTTGTACAAAGCCCAGGAACAGCTGTAAACTGAAGGTTCAGATATGTTGCCATCCAGTAGCACCCTCTTTTCCTAATGCCTAGACATGGTAATCTCCCAGACTGCTTGCAGGTGGAAGTCAAATTTTCTGCATGTACATCAGTTCTCTCCCCAGCACCACAGCATAGCACAGGTTGATCACCACATTATCTTCACTGACCATCCCTGTGATCTCAAACAGACTTAAGACATCAACTAGCTTCTTCAGGAGAAACTGCTGAGTGGATGGCAAGTGTCTGTCTGAGCTCACCTAGACATGTCCACAGGTTGCACTATCACCACGGCTACTCTCTGCTCAAAGAGGTGTCCTGGTCTCATAGAGTTCTATCCTTCTGCTTTATTTGGTGGCACAACAGCTTGGGCAACCCCTGCAGCTCTAAGTGCGTGGTACACTGTACAGGATTGGCTGAAGAGGTGACAGGCTTTGACCAGCAGCAGCAGCATCTGCACTCTTCTCCAGAAATTCCCTCACAACTAGACTGAGGCCATAAGCGATGGAAATGGAAAAGCAGGGAGCCACCATCACATGCTGCCTTTGTACAGTGTACTCCATTGTCCCTTGCTACCTTGGCCACTCTTCTGACAACAGGCAGCTTGTTCAGGAAGCACAACTCATGTGTGCAAGGCATATCGTGAAGTTGCATGTGTTGCCAGTGCTGTCACTAGTCACTCACGTAGGCCTGCAAGTCAGGTGTCTTGACTCCTGCTCTGTACTGTCAGCTTTGCAATTACCCAGACCACACTGTACTTTGCTGCCTGCAGCAGCACAAAGACCTGATACTGCCCCATTCACAGAACTGGAGCAGGGAGGCATCCGCCATCTGGGGGCAGCTTCACCCACTGGTCATCTAAAGCCCTCAACTTTCAGTTCGGAGAAAGGCAGCATACCCTGGGTTAGCATTCTGACATGCTAATCACATTCCCAAACGTTGATCTACTGTGTGCATAATTACTATTATGGAAGAACAGTCTCTTGTAACAAAAGGAATTTATTCTATGTGGTCATCTGAGATCTTGGCCTGTCTACTCAATCACATTTTAACAATATGGACATTGGCCAGAGGGAATGGGACAGATCAAAATTAATATAGGTTACTCTGTAGCCTACAGACAGTAACAAGTTCTGGCCAATGTAGGTCTGGACTTAATCTGTCCTGGGACGTACAGGTGAAACCCCATTAATTCTATCTTGCTCATTCAACATGAGTTGGTGGCTTTAAAGTTGCCTACTTTAGAACGTCAGCTAATTGAGGGAGGGGCTTTATTTGCACTTTAACTGTAAAAGGGTTTTTGTTTATTTACTTATTTTATAACCAGCAACATAGAAACTCAGTTCACCAGAACCAAAAGGCATGGACTTGGAACTGGGAATGGTTAAGGATCTTTTCCTCTGTCAGTCACCTGTCCTAATCAAATTTCATAATCAGAAGCAATGGGGAATAATTTCCATCAGGGAAACTTGCACTGCATGGCGTAACTGAGCCATTTTGATCCAACTTCTAACAGAGCAGTGTCCAGATCAGAAATACTACTTGCACAAATTAAACTCTCAGCTGGCCCAAAATTAAAGGGCAGATCCTCTTTCTATTGAAGTACATGGCAAAGCTCACCTTGACCTCAAATCAGTCCAAGATGGTGGCTCAACTGCTTAAAGAAGTGGCACTGACTCCCAAAACTAATCCTTCCAGGTTGGAGATTAGGGAGAGTGGCCTAACAGGATACTGTCTAATGGAACACAGAACTTCAGTTCCCAAAACCAGCCCCAGCAGTAAACCAATCAATAAAAGCTTAGCTGACTCCCTGCCTTCTGGAGATGTCCCTCCCCTGCTTACAATCATTCCATTCACAAACACTCAAGACAAAGTTAAAGGGAGGTTACAACAAGATTTTATTTGACAGTACACAATATGGTTACATTAAGATCAAAACAAAGACATAACTGCTGCCAACAACATCTAAAACAGACACCTTCATGAAGTGAATTAATCATGCTAATGACAGAACAATGTGCTTGGTCACTCTCTCTCTAGTGCCCATACCTGAAAATACAAAAAGATGTCATGTTAAGGTGTTTTATATATTGAGCACTAGTGCCAAGTTTTCTGATAAGGCCACAATGGTTAATCCAATTAACATGCAGTATGCAAATATGTGCATCAAGCCCAGTGGTAACACTAAGAAGGTTCTTAAGATAATGAAAAATAGTTATATCAAGTCTGTCAGATATTAGTGCTGACCAGGACATTAATCAGCCCACCATTTTATAGGCAGGTTCATATTAGTAGTTTGTTCTGAACACTAATTCTAAGATTTGTCTCGAGTGAAACAAACCTGGAATATGTCACTACCCCAGATATATCACCAAGTACTTGTATTCATTTTGTCTCATAGTGAAACCCTGACAATATACTCACTAACCAAACAGAACAGGTATTACTGAGCCATGTTTTCAACTATGGCTCCCATAGTGAAGAGTTAAAGTCCTGCATTAGGGTGCAAAAGTTGTCGCAATAGTGATCATTTATATAAATACATGCCTACAGTGCCCAAATGTGTCCTAAAATGTCTTAATACACTGTTTTATGGTTTGTTGGTTTTTTAAATCTGGCCTCAATTTAGGGGGGAAAAATGTCTGTAATAAAGATTGGTCAAGAAATGATGCAGTTCAAATGAAGCAGAGGGCAGAAGGTACTAGGCAAAGCTCCCTACTACCAATGTAAGGTATCTTAATGCCAACCCACAATACTCCCTGTCATTACTCACCTAGACAACCATACACACCTGTCAAATGCTCCTCAATTCTGACTGGTAGCTCCTCAGCCTGTTTTAATAAGAGGTCTTTTTTTTTTTTTTTTTTTTTGAAAGCAAGACCACTGATCTGGCTCATTCACTTGGTTCTGCAAATACGCACCAAGCCAAGCTATTGCAGTTGCCTTTACTCTTTTGCAACTGTGATAGGGTTTTAAAAAATAAGATCGACATGGCAAAAATCAAAATGAATGTGACTTGATTTTGGCACCTTGAGATAAATATTTCAGACCAATGGACACTATACAGGCCAATTTCTGAATCCAAGCTACTTGTGTGACAGCTCAACATTCATCTGAGGCTCTGCTTTCAGCTAAATCCACTTGCCTCTGCTCTCAAGAGAGTGCATCAATATAGTTTATAATTGCTCTCATTTACTTTGGAGCTACTTGGACTCACTTCAGAACCTTAAATGCTGGCAGGTGACTAGGGCAGCATCAGTGTAAAACTACTCTCCCTCCCATGGGAGAGTATGTAGCCAGACCCAAAAACCCCCAAGAAATGATTATTCAAGCACCTAGCATCAGTATCTACCAAAAGATCTAATGGATGGACCACTGCATTTTCCATGTCAGGAATTGCACAAAATACGTACTTTTGGAACTCCCATTCTCTGTTGTCTAATGGACACACCTGGCGAGTCTTGAGCCAGCGAGAGATGCAGTGAAAATGGAAAGCATGCTGGAAGAGAAGGTCCAAGTTAGTTTCATGATGTACTGCTCAGGGCATCTCAGCACAGAAGTTAACAGAAATGTCAGTCAGCAGGGGAAAACAGTTGGAGGGGCGGGGGTGGTCTAGACAACGTAAGGGGAGCTGGCAGCCACCTGACTAATAACAAGCAAGAAAGGAGAGGTTTTCAATCTTATTTCTAGGAGGAATGGGCAAGTCAACACAGTGATGATGGAGAAGCTGTACAACAGGTAATGAAATGGCAAATAATTGACAAAGCAGAGGGTGCAGTGCTTAAGATTTGCCAGTACTGGCAGAGTAGAGACTTTATAAAAAGCACGGCCCCAAAACAATAAGGACAGGGATTTCAGAGTGAAATCTTGTAAGGCAAGAATGATGTGGGTGTACGAATACTTTCTGCAAGGGATTGCAACCAAAGTCTGAATTAAAGCCATCTTGGAAGACAAGAAAAGGGAGAAACTGCAAACAGTCCTTTTCTCCTAATATGGCTCTTAAAAAAAACCAACAGTCCCATTTACCAGTAAAAAAAAAAAGATGATGTTGGGAATCTCAGTTCTGACACCCAAGTGCCCCAACACTGTTAAAAACATGATTTAATCCTGCCTTTGTTCCTTTTTTTTTAAAATTGGTTTACGAACAATAAAAAAGAAAATCAGGCTTGAGACATTTTTAGATACTAGCACAGTATAATTTGGTCCACTACACAGGAGTTTTGTAACATGAACTAGGGCCTAGCATACAAACAGTAGTGCCTTCATGCAGCCCTTTTAGTTAGCCTTTCCCCTTCAGTTCATGGCCAGAAAGGCTTGCATACTTGTTGAGTTCAGACCATCTTAATGGTGGAAGTGGGGTGCACTGTGGTTCCTTTAATCTTGCAGGTTCCCCTGTGCCCCTGCCAATTGGTGGAGGAGCCCTGCTTGCAGCTTGCTTCTGATCAGCAGGGTGGCAAAAACTGTAGTTTTAAATACGGTGTTGTTTTTGCCTCCCGCCACTGATTGGCTGAGGTGCCCCAGACAGCCCTGCTCTTTGCTGCTTAGACAGGGGAGGCAAAAACAGCAGCATGTTTAAAACCGCGGTTTTAGCTTCCCTGCTGATCAGTAGTGTGTGGCAGGGTCCTCTGCTAATCAGTGGGGGAGTGGGGCGCAAGGTGCATGCACAGGAACATGCAAAATTAAAGGAACCACTGCACACTGTACTTCTGCTATGAATTCAGTAGGTCTCTACAAATGATATTTGTCTCTAATGATCAAGAGGAAACACTCTAGTCAGCAAAAAAAACCCTGGTCCCTCATAACCCTGCGTATCAAGAATAACTGGGCATTCACATCTAAATAATGCTGGTCTCTGATGGTAGGACAACTCTGAAGTATGAGCTAGTCCCCTGAATATTCAAAAATAAATCATATACTCAAAATTAAATTCCTAAATTAGCAAAAATCTGAGCAATGGAAGTATATATCCTCCACCACATTCTCAATCCTTATTTTTCTATTTTTCGCTTCCCAGCTTCTCCATGCCTCGCTGAGAAGCCAGACCTTGACATTTCGCACTCCTAGTGAATTATTTTAGACCATATTATTTGACTTTCTCCATTCTGATTTGAGACATGGGAAAGAGGGGCACCAATCTTTTCACAACAGCTGATCAGTAAAGCAGTTTACTTACATTGCAGACACCCCATGCAACAGTACACTCTTCAGAGGTAGCTGATGCTTGGTTAGCTTGGCATTCTATACCTGTGGAAACAGAATCAAATGGGACTCATGATAGCCAACTGTCTTGTAGCCATCAACCAGGAGTCCTCTATGCTTGAGCAACAGGAAATATATAGAGGCTGCTTGTTTTTTTGGATTCATTACATCAACAAGTGCTGAGAACTGATAGGTTAATGAAGATTTTTCCCAACAGTGGTACCGATCAGTCTGAATTAAGTTAGATAACTTTGTCCCACTTTCTTCTAGATTATTTTTGGTAGTGGGGATTATATAAGTGAAATGTGGCTGCTTGCCAATTTTTAAAGATAAGCATTTCTAATTTGGTAATACCAAGGTGTGTTTGGCTTTAAATACCTTTTGAATGATGGGTGGTTTTGTCAGACCTGTAAAGATTTAGTTAAATCTTTCCTAGCTAAAATTATTTTAGCACTAAATTTTTCCTCTTGTCCAAGACACTAGGTCTGTAAATATCAGCAGGTATGCTACCTTACTCATGAGACGTTGAAACTTGGCCACACCCTTTCTAACCTTGTCTTATACCAACACACCTAAAAAAAGAAAATGGTACAAAACATCACTTCATATTAATGGCCATAATAAAATATATCCAAAGAACTTCCGGCAACAATGATGGTGAAGAGAGGTCAATCTCAGAAAGGAAGTCTGGTAACCAGATTTTCCACATTAGATCCTGATTCCTTGCAACTCAAGTTATCTGAAACAAAAACAAGTAGCAAGTGGAAGCATTCTCCCTTCCCTATAATCAGGGATAGTAATCTGTTTCAATCAATGCTTTAAATGCATTTCTTTCAAAGGGATGATTTTGCAAAGCAATGAAAGTCAAGCCCATAGTTTTAAACAGATTTCTTCTGTGGTGACAGATCTTTTGCCAGATAAGGAACAGTAAGACACCACTGCCACCACCACATCCCTACCCTCCAAACAAAATTAGAACCCTGATCACCTTTCATCTTAAAAGGAAAAGCTTTACTACCTCTAAAAAGTATGAGAACTTCTTTAACTTAAGTTTATGCTCATTTCTTGAGGCTAAGGGCAAGATGAAGGGGAGATTTAGAAAAACTAGATGCATGATCATCCATAAAGACCTGTCCAAAGTCTACTGAAATCAGGTGTCCAAGAAAAAGGAATATCCTATTCCAGGCTTATTTCTGGGTGGCTGTCTCTATTCAAGTACAGTGCCTGGACTGGAAAGAAGCTACATCTGTCCATTAATTTGTGTTTGCTTCAGATGTTCCAGAGGAAAGATCCAGATGTAAAACATGAACACCTCTTCTCCAGTATCTTTGTTAAGGGTAAGAATTAAAGAAATGGTTTTTGTATGGAAACTTGTAGTCCTTCCTGAACTTTACAAATGCATAAAGCAAGTATTTTGGTGTTACCAACCATCACCTATCAAGCTGCCGTATCAGAAGGCTCCACATGACACCATTGAGGCACAAAAGATTTAACTAAATTATCATCCACTGACCAGGGCTTAAAACAAACTAAAATTGACACCTGCTCACTAGTAAGTATGATTCTCAGTGTCAATTTCCTCAAGTTTATATATGTGTCTAATAACAAGAAGCCAAATTGGCCAGAAACTACTTCAGTATTTAAAGGAGTATTTTTGGCTTCTGCCTGTTGTTGGCCAAATACTAAATGTGGCCACACTGGGCAAAAGATTCTACCCAGCTTCTCAGATGTGGGATGATGATCTAAAGCAAGAATTCTCCTGCCCTTGAGAATCTAAAATTTATCAAATGTTATTTGGACCTAGAGTACTTCTGCTGAATATTTTAAAGGGCTCATTGCAGTACTTTTAGGAAACATATGTACCAATAAGTTTAATTGATTCGTCCAGTTTAGTTAAGATATGACAGAGAAGTTCTGCTCCTTTCCCTTTACCATTCCCCACCCAGAAGACTATTCTAGTATATTTTCAGCAGATTTTTTCCTCATATTTAGGACTATTTTTCTTTTAATGTCATGATCATTTCTACCTGTATATCTCTGTACCATGCTTAATATTTCCTCTTGATACGACTCCCTCAAAATGTTTGTAGACAGTTATGTTCCACTCTTAGTCACTATCGAGAAAGCTAACCAACTGATGACCCATGTGGATGCCCATACGCCAAGATGGCTTTTTCCTTTTATCAAAGGAAAAAAGATACAACCTTAACACAGCTTCCTTTTTCATATGTAGTTGATAAATGTAGTTTATTACACAATCATGACCTAGTTTTCAATAGGGCTCTACTTCTTTCAGTCCACAGGATAGACCTGCTCTGGAAATGAATCACACTTGTTTTTAGGAAACCTGTTTTCTTTGTTGCAAGAGTCGGAAGGTGTGGAGTGAATGAGGCAGAGGACTGCAGGAAGAGAAAAGATGATCTTGTGGTTCAGGTACATCAATGCTGTTTTAGAGAACCATCTTCCATTGCTGCCTGTGCCAGAGTTGATGCTGATATTAGTCAGTTCATCTAAGCCAAGTTGAGATTTTTTTTAAAACAAGTTGTCACTGGTTAAGTCTCTTCTCTGGGTGCCTTACCTTACAATATGATGTACAGAAACAGTGAATACCCAAAACTCACAACTGCAACTGAAGTCAATGGGAACCATGCTAAAATACATGGCTGCTCATGTTTCAAAGTATGTCAGGGAGGGGAAGAGAAACAGGTCTTGAGTATCTCAAAACTGAGCACCCTCATTCTTTCACCCCCCCAACCCCCCAAAAAGCCACCACCAAAATCAGTTAGTACTTTTGATCTTGTTTTCCGTGTCCCGTTTCTCCACATTTGTAAAACGGGGCTAACACCTCTTCATGGAAAGAATGCCTCATCTCATAGGCATTCTGTAACAGAATACTTTTGTATCTGTAAAGCCCTCAGATACTATAGTGATGAGAACAACTGAAAAGGCCCAAAAGGGAATCCAATCATTCTGTCTTCAGAGTAAAGTTTGCATTTCAGGCAGTTAAGGCAGGGGTTACCCATTGATCAATGAAAAGAAAGCAATATCTCAAAAAGCTGCTCAAATTAAGTGTACCTCATCCATTTTCTGCACTAAAAAAAAAAAAAAAAAAAAAAAAAAAAAATGCAGAAAAAATTAACTCTCATATTATCAATTTCATTATGTCTAAAGGAAATGTAGGCAAACTTAATATTAACTTTTGAGTGTCTGACTTCATAAGCTCAACATCTTATTAATGGCATTTCTTTGCATGTAATATTTACATTTTGTTTCCTATTATTCAGCCCTCCAAATAATTTCTGCTTTCCAAATTTGTCCTTGACACTGAAAACACTTGGTGAGGGAGATCAATTGATATAAATGCTAGCTTCCATTTTGTCAAACAATTTCATTTTGTTGTTTCCTATACATGATTCAACTTACTTCTCCAATTTCCCCATCACCTCACAGCTTATATATGAAAATGTCATTAAAAAGTGTGGTTTACTTCCTTCTCCTAGATTGTTAAAGACATTAAATAAATCCAGACCCAACACAGATCTTTACAGCAGACAGACATTTTCCTCCATTTGCTATACCATCAATTACAACTCTACACTTACAGTTCAGCCATTTTGCAACTGAGCCTCTATCTAAGCCAGTAGCAAGTATTTTGGCAAGTAAATGTCTTAAATACAATTAAGAGCTTTACCCAAAAAAAAGTATTTTATCTACGCTCCCTTCATTCATTTTTTTGTTATTCTACACACACGCTTTACCATGATTCGCTTTTACTAAATTAGCAGCTACTTATTGTTTACTATTTTTAAGGACGTTTCCCCTAGTATTTCCTTCATTATCTTATGGCAATGGATGTTAGATACCTCTCACCAAGCAATATCAGTCAGAATCATTTCCGCACCTCCCCCGTTCCCCATAACGTCCCCTTCTGGCACCCGTCAACTGACTGCTAAATATTCTCAGGTATTATTACCCACTTCTCCATAGCCTCTCAAAAATAAGTGACAGACTACAGCAAATATTGCATGCCTGCTTCCATTACACGAAACGACAAGTATCTACTGGGCAGATAAGCAGAATAAGTAATATCACATTTCACTAACTTATACCAGTATTTCTTAGAGCTGTGCGAAATTTCAGCAGTTGTTTTGTTTCAGAGGTGTTTTGGGCCATTTCAGCGCCTGAAACGCTGAATCCGAATCAAAACGGAAGGCTCCAGAACACCTCTGGAACAAATTGGAAGGCTCCGAAATGTTTTGGAAATGTTTTAGAGAATTTTGGAGTTTTGGAGCCAGGCTTGCAGGGAAACAAAAACTAAGAAAATCTATGAAGAGGGAGGGGAAAGAAGAGGGGCGGAGGACTGCTCTGATATTGACATCTAGCTCCCAGTTTAATTCCCCAGCTTTCTGATCATTTCCCCAGCTCTTCCCGGGGGGCGCAGGGCCCCAATCTGCATGTGGGGTTTTAGCAAGCTGCTGCTGTAGGCTGGGGCCAGTGGCAGCTGCTTGGCACATGCTAAGCATAGGGAAGACTGCGGTGCTACTGCTGGCCCCAGCCTGCAGCAGCAGCTTGCTGAAACCCAGTGCCCGTGCCCCCCAGGAAGATGATCAGAGAGCTAGGGAAATTGAACCGGGACTGGGGAATCCCTGCCACAGAACCTGGCTTGCTTGCCACTCTGTGCTGCTTCCCTACCCCATGACCCAGCGTGACAGGGATCAGAGATCCGCACGGTGGTCTCCTTGCCTGCACGGAGGGCACTGGCCCTCCCCTTCCCCCGGACGAGCCACCTACAGCCCCATCCTGCTCCCCACTGGGGCCCTACAGTCCAGCCCCAAGCCCCACCCGGCTGGGTAGGGCTGCACAGAGATTCCCTTGCAGCCCATTCGAAACAGATTCGGAGGAGATTTGGTGGAGCCGAAACTCCAAAACAGATTCGGCTGAAACTAAACAGGACAGTGATCAGAGACAGTGAAATGAATCGCTGTCCTCCGAAACCGAATCATTTCGCACAGCCCTAGTATTTAATTCCATTTAATTATGAATAAATGCTAAAATAGAGGTTGTTACACACCTATCAGTAACTTACATTACCAGTTTTAGTTACCTGCTAGTTGTGTGTCCTTTTTCTAGCATCTTATTTTTATAAAAGCTTATTGAATGAGTTTCCCTTGGTCTACAGTAATTTATTGGAGCACAGTATACCCTTTGACTACATTTCCTCAGGATATGTTGACTTTAAGAAGATTAAAATTATAATATGAGTTTTATCAGTCTATCTTTCCACATCCAAGGGCCTCACAGCACTTTACAAACATGAATTAATCCTCACTTGCCTGTCTCACAATGTTAGTATCCCTCTTTATTAAGCATGGATAAACAGCGGCATGAATAAGCAGCTTGCCAAAATGTGCAAGTCTGACAGCCAGAGAGAACAGACTTTATCAACAGTTAGTTCTTTACACTGAAGTACCAGAAACTTTTAAATGGGAGCAGAATAGTTTTGGAATTGAGTAGGTGGAGGCAAATGGATCTCTTACCCACATTTACTGTAAGTGGGAGGCTTCCTGGTTTTGAGACAGATTTCCTTTGTGTGCATTTATTCATAGATCTTTTTCAGTGGATTTAATGACATAGGTAGGAAAATATTTTAAAACAGGGAAAGATCTACCACAGGCACCAAGCCCTGATCATTCAGTTTCACATGCTGTAGTCATGATTTATTTAAGGTTTTTTTTTTACTTTTTTATTTGGGGGGAGGAGGGGGAGGGGAAGGGAGAGAAGCTACTATAAATGGTGACAGATAGACAAAGCAAGACCAATCTTATAACATTTTATTCACTCACCCACTTAAGACATGTCTAAAGGTGTTCTACCTACCAACCTCAAGCAAGCATGGATAATTAGATTTTACACCTATTGCAATGTCCTCTCCTTTTTGAGATGCACTGTTTTGGCACTCAAAGGATTTCTGAATGGAACTGAAAGGTTGGTGACTGATCTGCATGCACACACAATTTAATGGTGGAAACCTTTCCACCACAGCAGTATGCAGCTGTTTTAAAACCAGTAACTTTACAAATAAACATCAACATAAGTATATTGTATAATCTTTCCAGATAAAGTAGGGTAAACATTTAAGCAAATTTTTGTACAGTACAAATTTGATTGTTTGCTTTCTGTTTAAAAGAACAATTCACACTCCTCTGGATATTTACCACACAATTCCAGATTATAATAGCATTAGCTAACTCGTGCAGAGTATTTTTTGTATAGTGACTGGCTGACTGAGGTTAGTGGTCCACCCTACCCATCAGCAATCAATCACAGATAAGAATCCTATGTCTCCAGCCTCACCAGTTTAATGAAACAATTGATATTCAGTTTCAGTAGGTCTTGCACGATTCCTAAACAATTCTACTCTATCCCAACTCTATCCTGGCCCATCATCATAGGCCTTCAGTTCCATTTCAAGCCTCTGCCTAACTAAAATCATCTCTTGTATGATATCAAGTTTAGTCCCTCCCCCTCCCACTTTTAAAAAAGAGGGAAAAAGGAAACATGGTGATGAGAAGAGTATTAGAATGGATCAGGGCAGCTAAGTGTTATTCACAACATAGCCTACCAACAGTGGGCTTCAAGAAAAAATTTCTAGTTGAAAGATGTGTTCTCAGAAATGCACATTAATGAAGGGTACTGTTTGACTGGGCATCACACTTTTAATCAACCTGCCAACTCCCCCCTCCCTTTTACTTACATAGATCCATGATATGGTTCCTGCAAATGGCACAGTTATCAACCACAATGTCCCAGGCCCAGAGAGCTACAGCATTCCACTACAAAAAGAAAAAAAAAGAAAAAAAAAATCACATACATTTGTTGAATTCATAACATCCACCAGAGGATTCTTCTCCTTCTCCTGCACAGCTTCAGCCAAAGTGCAGTAGGTATTTCAAGGACACCTCTGAAAATTTAACACGACCCTCTGTAATCAGTTTGAAAGGGCACCTGGAAAGCAGCAAGACATGTACCTGCCTCAAGATCCAAGCACTTCCTGTCAGCTCAAGACAACAGAATCCCCATCTCCCAAGAAGATTAAGACAGACTCTCAGGAGTTGTTTATAGCTATAAGGTGGATGTATAATGGGTTAGATAATCATGCTCAAAGAGCCAGTCATCAACAGCTCAATGTCAAATTCAGAAAGGATATCAAGTGGGTTTTCTTCAGGGGTCTGTCTTTGATCCAGCACTGTTCTACATATTTCTTAATGGCTTAGATGATGGAATTGAGCACATTTAGTACACTTGTGAACAACAGCAAGTTGCGTGAAGTAGCAGACATTTCAGAGGGCAGAATTAAACTTCAAAGTGACCTTGATAAATTAGGAAAATAGTCCAAGATAAATAGAATTAAATTCAGTAAGGAAAAATGCAAAAATCACTCCTCACTGTGGGGGCAGCCTCGATCTGCCCCCTCCCTTCCCCCTCCACAGGCTTACTGGCCAGACACTGTTCTCCAAGCTGCCAGGCTGCACTCCTAGCCGTGCTCATGCTGCGGCTGCACGCATGCACGGAGCATTTATCAGTGACATTATCGGCCACATCAGCCAAAAAAGCCAATTGCCAACAATGTCAATTTTCCTTTTATCACATCACTGCCAATATATGGACTGATATATCAGCGCACTGCTACCAAAAGCCACATGCAACAATCTACTAGCAGCTAATACTAGGATCTATTAACAGGAGTCTCATATGCAAGTCACACAGAAGTGATACTTTCACTCTATTTAGTACTCCCAAGAGAGGTCCCACTAGTGCTATGTCCATTTTTGGGGACTGTACAACAAACAGAAAAACAAAAGCAATCCCTCCTCCCACAACAAAAAACACACAGGAACAAGTTTGGAAAAGTCCATACTGGAACAATGAAAATCATTACAGGTCTAGAAAACATGATATATCAACAGGTTAGAAGTGGGATTATACAGTCATGAGATGAGACTGAAGGGGATTTGTTAACAGTCTTTAAATACAAGGCAGGTTATGAAGAACAGTGTTCTCTGCACCCACACTGGACAGTACAAGTAGTAACAGGCTGAAACTGCAACTCTCAGCTTGGTTAAAAGCAGTGGAAGAGATTCCAGAGAAAAGTTGGCAAAATTGTCATTAGCCCTGCCCCTTGACAGTTGCCCTGTCCCCTAGTCGCCATCTTGGGACCGGAAGTCCCACCCCTAACCCATGACCTTTGCTGCCAGAAGTCCCTCCTGTTGCCCCCCAAGGAATGCTCCTTTGGGGAGTCAAACACCTACTATAACATATTTTAATTTTATTACAAAAAATATGTCATGATTTGTGTACTGTATATAGAGGTGATTGAATAATAGCTCAAAAAGAGTCTTAGGCTTGTATAGTTTGTGGTCTCTTTAAGCTGTATCAATTGCAGAAGAGGGGTTCACATTTGCCAGCTTAACATTTAAACTGTGATTGGCTTAAAACCCTCACTTTTAATACAATGAATGCAACTATATTTTTAGCCAAGAGCCCTGAAAATCTTATCTAGGGGAATCTCTCTCTCCCCAAGTCACATTTCCTAGCACTGGAGACATGAAAGAGATCACATTGACAAAAGTGACAGTTACCACCATAAGCAGTAATGCAGTAACCTTCTTACCAGTGAGCAATCACTCTCCTAAGCAGAGGCAACCAACTACTGGGAACAGCCGTTACATTACTCTACACTGATTCCCAAATGTCTTCCTTCAAAACACCATAGGTCACTTAGACACCTGCTTATAGACACTCACAGAAAGAAAAAAGTAATTGAGAATCCTCAGCTCCAACTTTAAGCCATTAAAAAAAAAAAAAACCTCACTCACCTCCATAGCTACAAAGGTCTATAAGAGGAGGGCCTGCTATGAATTCAAGGGGACAGCATGTGAAAATTAACCCAAGATAAAAGAATCATAGCCAAATAAAACAGAAGAGGGGCTGTAAGAACTGGAATTTAGTGTGGAGAAGACAATTTGGTAAGTCTTCAAAGAAAAAAAAGGGTTGGTATAGGGTGGGCAAAATGTGGTCTGTGGGCCAGATGCAGCCTGCCAGGCCGTTCTATCCGGCCCGTGGGGCCCATAAAAAATTTAGAAAATTAATATTAATCTGCCCTGGGCTGCCTGTCATGTGACCCTCAGTGGCTTGCCAAAACTGAGTAAGCAGTCCTCTGCCCAAAATAATTGCCCGCCCCGGTATAGAGACAGTGGTGGGCAGCTATTTTTCAATATGGGATAGGGCAAGAAACAGATGTTAGGGAGAACTTTCTAGTTATAAGGGTGGTTAAGTACTGGAGCAGATTACCTAGGGAAGCTGTGGAAATCTTTATCAGTGGAAGATTTTAAATGCAGTTTAGACAAACACCTAGCTGGGATGGTTCAGACAGGGATGATGACAGGGAACCTCAAGCAGGAGGTTAGGCTAGCTGCCCTTATGAGGTCCTTTCCAACCCTATTTTTCTAAGATACAGAAAACAGATATAACATCACATCCCTGATCTCTCCCTTCTCTCACTCCTTAAAATAGGAAGAAAAATAGTTCTTCCATATTCTATCTTAGTATCAGTAGTCACAACAGTTTAACATCACATTGTAACTAGTATAACCTCTCACTTTAGGCTGTTCGTGTTAGCATTGATGTGAATATTTTGTTCCTCCCCTTTCTGGTACTCTGCTGTTCATTACAGCAGTAATTCTCAACTTTCTCAGACTCATTTCCCTTTGGAAAATGCCATCTCTTAGTTTCTGCTCATTTTTGAGTACAGAAAAATAATAAAGCAATTCTTCTGCTGTGAAGAACATATCAGGATGTTTCTCACACTATGGATTCCTACTTGAAATCTCTGGGTTTATCTAGTGAACCAGGTTTGCACAACTAACCATGCTAATATGAAGCAGCATGCCACAACACCCCTAAAAGGATCTCATGGCACCCCAGGGAGCCACAGCACCATGGTTGAAAATTACTGCTCTACAGTATAGTTTCCTATGCTTGTCCAGTCCAGGTTTTCGCGGTGCTTCCATTTTAACCCTAGAAGATGACTCTATCAAGAGAAGCTACCACCGATAGTACCCAATATTTGGCCCACTATTAAAAAGAATAATCAAAATGATCTTTTCATCATTCAATTACGGCCTCTGTAGAACTATCCTGAAGGCTGGTAACCTACGGTCTGCAGAGCGGTTGAGTCCAGCTAAGGGCAACAGCAGCATGCAGCTGCAGTGTGCCACCCATGCTCTCTGCAGCCCTCCCTATGGCTCTCTTGCACCCGTACTTACTCCCACCACAGGGTTTGCCCATCCCACTGCCGTGGAGATAGGGATCGGAAGCTGAAGTAAATGTAAGCAACATTGGTGCTTCTCAGGAACACAGATTTGGAGCCTGTGATGTAGGCAGCGTAGCAAACAGCAGCAAAAGGTTGCACTATACCATTTCCACGGTGGGTGGACTACACCTGGACTACGTGATACCCAGCTAGTTGCCCTTGTTGTGAAGAATGCCAACACCATACCGGGCTGCATTAGCAGATCGAGGGAGGTGAGCCTTCCCCCCTATTTGGCACAAGCGAGGCCACATCTGGAGTACTGTGGCCAGTGTTGGACCCCCATTACAGAAAGGATGTGGACAAACTGGAGAGACTCCAGCAGAGGGCAATGAAAACCATTTGGGGGCTGGGGCATGTGACTTCTGAGGAGAGGCAGAGGGACTGCACTTGTTTAGTCTAGAGAAGAAGAGACCAAGAGGGGACTTAGTAGCAGCTTTCAACCACTTGAAGAGAGTTCCAAAGAGGATGGAGGTGGACTGTTCTCAGTGACGGCAGATGACAGAAGAAGGAGCAACTGTCTCAAGTTGCAACAAGGGAAGTTTAAGTTGGATATTAGGAAAACGCTCTCTCAGGGGGAGGGTAGTAAAGCACTGGAACAGGTTGCCCAGAGGAAGTGCAATCGCTGTCCTTGGAGATTCTTAAGCCCTGGCTAGACAAAGCCTTGGCCAAGGTAAGACAGTTGGGGCTGGGCCTTCTCCGAGCAGGACGCTGGACTAGATGTGGCCTCCTGAGCTCCCTCCCAACCCTCGTTTTCTAGGGCTCGAGGCAGGCACCGGGGGCAGGGCGCGCCCGACAGTTACAGGCAGCCGCATGTGCGGGGGCGGCACAGCACGGCCGCCTGGTTACCAAGGAGACAGAAGGGCGTAGGGGCTGCGCCCCACCCCCACCGGCGGC